ACCGCATGGCGGCGGGGTCCAGCCCACCCTGAAACGGACCAAGAAGGCCCCGAGAGGCTCGAAGAGATCCCCAAGAAGCACGCAGAGGCCCCCAGGAGGCGCCAAGAGTGCCCCAAGAGGCCACCAAGAGGCTTCCTTCGTCTCCTCCTCCTCCCCCCTCGCAGGGAGACGAGAAGATCGCCGGCTACGAGCCCGCGTCCCAGACGGAGGCCGAGGCCGAGGACGAGGATGAGGACGAGGACGAAACCGAGGACGACGACGACGACGACGACGACGACGACGACGACGACGACGACGACGACGACGACGACGACGACGACGACTTGTGGTTTCCTTCATCGCTCCGTGGGATCCCGCGGGCGCTGGCGTCCAAGCGGTCTGCTCTGGCATGCGGCACCAGCCGGAAGGGGGCCGGGGGAGGTCGGGAGCCCAAGATGGACGAGGAGGAGGCACGGAGACGGCGTTCTACCTGCCTAGTTAGGCGGACGGGAGGGAGGGGAGGCAACGGAGACGGGGATGGTAGTGGCGATAGGCGGAGACTGGAAGGGAGGAGGAGACGGGGATGGGCCATCAGGTTGGGGCAGGAGGTGGCGATGGTGGCAGAGGCACACCTGAGATATGGATATGGAGGCAGAGCGAGGCAGAGAGAGAGAGAGAGACCCAGACACTCAACTGCTCAAATGTTTTTCGATGCGTTGGCCCCGGAGGTCCGGACCACTTCTCTAGGGCCGGTTTTTCGTCCTGAGTCGTTTTCGGCGCTCCCGAGGCCTTGCGAGGGCCCCCAGAGGCCGAAAACGGCCGAAAACCGCCTGCTCCAATTTTTTGGAGCGTCCGATCTCAGAGGAGAGAGAGTCACAAGCAAGTGCAGGCATTGACATCCTTCAGCTCCACCCACATGGTAAGGCGGAACGCGTAGGGCCACATCTTGCGGGTCTCCTTCGGGGACGACCCCAGCAGCCCGGCAACAGAGAGGGGGGGGGGCAGGGGAGGTGGGGGGACCAAAGAGGAAACGAAAAGGTCAAGAGTAGAGGAGGAGGAGGAGGAGGTGGAGGAGGAGGAGGTGGAGGAGAAGGAAGAGAAGGAAGAGATGGAGGACAACGCCTGACAACCTTACAAAGCCCGTCCTTATCCTCCTCCGCGTTCCTCCGCCCCGCCCCTCCAGAATTACTCGATGTGGATACTACTCTCCCCTCCCCTGACAATACCCAGCGGTGCCCCCGCCCCTCGCGCATAACACACACACACAGACACATGCACACACACACACACTTTTGATCTGCAGGGCGAGAGCGAACCTCTTCCGCTGAAAGCTAAGCGAGACACACACACACACACACACACACACACACACACACACACACACACACACACACACACACGCACACAGACACACAGACACACACACACACACACACACACACACACACACACACACACACACACACACACACGCACCCACACACACACACACGCGCGCGCACTTTTGTCGTGCGGAGCCAGGCGGACGACGGAGCCGAATGGACAACGCGCGACCGCGGCAGGGACACCCACGCACATATACACACACACCCTGTTCGGTCGTCGCGGGCCGGAGCGACTCCAGGCCGAGCAAGGTCTGTCGGCGATCACGCGCTGGCGGGGTAAAAGGAAGTGGCCGGGCCCTCCCTTGGCACCCACACACAACCCACACACACACACACACAGACACACACACACACACGCGCATACACACACACACACACACACAGACACACACACGCATACACGGGCGCGGCGGCGCGGCGTAGTACCGGTCAACGAATGTGCACGCAACGGCCCGTCTCACGCAGCGGGGACACGCTGGATCCACCAATAGGAGATCGGCAGCGACACTCACGCGCACACACACACACACACAATCATAAGTAACCTGGCGAAGAACCTAACCATGTGCAGTTGTGAGCATCGCGTTGTGGGTACCGCTTTCGGTGGAGCTCCCTATGGGGCCACGAAGCGCGTGAGGGGTGTCCTGCAATGGGTGGGGACATGCATGCGGCCGCGGTCACTGGGGCCTTCGGTGGAGCTTCCAGGGGGGGCCACGAAACGATGTACTGGAGGAGCGCATGCGGCCGCGGCCACTGGGGCCTTCGATGAAATCTGTGGGGCCACGAAGCACGCATGTTGCCGCGGCCACTGGGGCGTTCGGTGGAGTTCCCTATGGGGCCACGAAGCGTTGTACTGGGTGCGGGAGACGCATGCGGTCGCCGCCCAGGGGCTCTCGGTGGAGCCCCCCTTTATGGGGCCACAAAACGCCGAACTCGGTGGGAGGAATCATTGCGGCCGCGGCTACTGGGGCCTTGGGTGGACGGCAACCGGGGCATTCGGTGGAGCTCCCAATGGGTCAACGAAGCGCTGCATTGGGTGGCGCGGACGCATGCCAATGTCGCTTCTGGGCCCCTCGGTGGAACTCGTATAGGACCACGACACGCTGTACTGGCTGGCGGGAACGCATGCAAACGTC